AACCCATGCTGCCCCCTTCTGGATACTTTGGGAAATTATATGAACTTAAATGTTTTGTAACGTGGCATACATGAAAAATAATCATTTTTTAAAACTATCTATTAAGGTGGGGATGGCAGGGGTGAGGGGGAGTGGGGGGGTAAATGCAGATAACTGTACTTGAACAACAATAAAATAATTTGAAAAAATTAATCTATTAAAGAACTTATCCTATATACTCACACAGAGAAACATATATTATTGACACTAAACAATTAACTTTGAAGATTTTCCAAAAATTCTATTCTGAATTAAGTTCTAGCAGTAGCACAAAGCTCTGATAAATCAATCATCATGCCAATAAGAGAATTAATACTAAATACGCTTACTAAAAGTAAATAAAACATGATACTTAAGTTGTATTTTTTTTGTTCCCTTCTATACACATTCTTCCCACTCCCCACAGCAAAGCCTAATAATCCATTTCAGTACTAACCTCTCTTCGTTTAATTTTAATGCTTCCCCTACCTATTCATATGCCCAGAAATGCGTAGTATAGATTTGCCTGCATTTAAAATGGAAATAAATGGCATCGCCCTGCATCGCACACACAGGGCTCCGCGTCAGAGACCACACTCCCAAAAGCAGCCCCTGTGGCAGGAACCGACTGGGGAACCGTGGAGAGCTCCGTGCAGAGGCACTGGCACAGTCCGGCTGTTAAGAACTATACCCTGGGGTCACTGGGGTTACTTTTTAACTTCTGGAATTTTTATCCTGGTCAATCCTATCTACCTGGCTTATTAAGGAAAAAAAATGTAAAGCACTGTTGATTTTTAAAAATTTCTTCTCCTAATTTTTTTCCCAAAGCCTAGTTTCTTTCTGTGAAAATAAAACGTTCTTGGGTCTTGGAGAGTGGACTCCTTCGTACGAGAAGCTATGGTAAAAGGAAAATGAATAGGCAAGGAAGGTAAATAGCCTGGCTGGAGGGTGGGAGGGAAGAGATCGGGTCACTCCCATCTGCGACTACGGAACCCTCACGCTGGAGGTTGGGACGGCTTCTGCTGTGGACAGCACCTGCCCCCTCTCAGTGGCTCGCTTCCTGGCTCTTCCCTGGCACCTGCTGCACTCATTTTGCTTCCAAGCGCCTAGAGTTCAGATTTTGAAAATTCACCCAAACCTACCTCTGACTGCTCTTGAAATCTAAAAAGCATTCTATCTCTAACCACTGAGTTGCTTAAATGTATTAGTTATTTGAGTAAGATTAAACTAAAATGATATAGTCCTAAAGTACTAAAACATAGCACAGAAAGTCTCTGGGGGATTACAAGACACTGCACTCAGGGTTAAGAAAAGCTGGAGACCTTCAGGGAAAGGGAGACTTGTTTTTCATTCATAACCTTTAATATCTTTTGCCCTTTGTAGTATGTGTGCATCATTACCTATTTATAAAATATTTTTAAGAAACCACAGTAAATAGTATTCCAAGTGCAGATGAAAATTTAGTAAATCAGTTAAAATTTGGCAAGCCTATTTTCTAAAAGATTTTTCTAAAAAGTCTTCTATGTGAATATTTGAAGTGGAAATCCAATTTAATAATAAAATTAAAATAAAATTAAAAGTAAATCTTATTAAAACTGCCTCAGAACTAGCATAACTGAATAGTTATAAGGTCAAAATCATTCATTTATAAACAATGAACTTGGAATGACAAAAAAAATCGTATAGGACTTTATATATTTTATTTTACTATATTTTGTTCAAGTAGATAGTTTCACGTTACTTTTCTTTCACATGTACATGTATCTTTCATATAGTGCATTTTGTTTTATCCAGAGTCTAAACCATCACAAAGGAAAAAGCAATGACCATAAAATAATTTTTTCTCCATATTCCACACGCTTAAAGAGAAATAGAAAAGGCAAATAACCTCATTTAGAGATCTCAGAACCACAAGCTGCAGCACCTGTCCCAAAGTCAAATCCCACAGGTCTGTTAGGGAAGTTCCCATCTCCAGCGGCACCATCCTCTCTGCCCAGCAGAAAGGATTTCATGTTTCTTCACTGGACGGTGAAGGCGTTGTCTAAGCTAGGAGACAAATAATGGTTCTGCTCCGTACTTCTTAACCTTCTATTTTATTTCTTATAAAATAAGAGACCAAAAACATCAACCTCGTACATTCTTAATTATGATTTAAGTAATTTTAAAAACACAACTAACATTTGTTTAAAAACACTTTTCCTGAAAAAAAAATTGCAAGAGGTCAAAACCTAACTTCCTTCTGAATATACCTAAGATAAATGCCCAATTCTATTCTAACCAAAAAGGCAGATGGCAGACTTTTCAGTATTTATCTTTAATCATTATCTTTGGTCAATTTTATAATTTTCCAACTACCAGAGATTACAATTTAAAATAAAAATATTTTCTGCTAAAAAAAGAGCCACTGGGTCAATTTATAGAGGTGCATTTCAAATTCAGGCATTAGAGCCAGTATATAATATGGTTACCTCTAATCTCGGCAAGAGTCACTTGCTGAACATTTAGCAGACCCCAAATTCTTTATGTCCTTTTATTAATCTGTTAGGTTCTTAGATCTTAAGCACATTAGCTGGTGCACCTAAACCACCAGTTAGAGGAAAAGTTATTAACTAGGCAGTCCTTATTTACTGGTTAAAGAATCACCTTTGAGAATGGAAGGACAGATAAAGTGCTTCTCAGATAAGATCAAATTCAAGAAGTTCATCATCACCAAGCCCTTATTATATGAAATGTTAAAGGGACTTACCTAAGAAAAAAAAGATAAAAAAAGATAAACAGTGAAAGGACAGCAAACTCACAGTTATCAACAACCACACCTAAAACAAGTAAGAGGGCAGCTAGATCAGGAGCAGAACCATAGAAATGAAGATCACATGGAGGGTTAGCAACAGGGGAGTGGGAGAAGGAGAAGGGGGAGAAGGTACAGAAAATAAGTAGCATAGATGGTAGGTAGAAAATAGATAGGGGGGAGGGCAAGAATAGTAGGGGAAATATAGAATCTAAAGAACTTGAGACATGTGGTCATAAACTAAAGGGGGTAATGGTGGGGGAGGGGGTGTGCAGAGTGGAGGGGAATGAAGGGGGAAATAGAACAACTGGAATGGCATAATCAATAAAATGTATTAAAAAAAAGAATCACCTTTGTCTGCACCAGTACTTTAGAAGGTCCAGTATCAACACTGAAGTCTCCATTGCTAAGTAAATCACCGGTCACACACCCTTTCCCAAGTACCTGGTCTGTGCCTCTTCTCCACGTTCCCCAGGCAACTGGCAGCACGCCAGCCGTCCCCTGGCCTAGTGGGGACCCGTCCTCCCCTCAGTTACACGTGTGTCTACCAAGTAGTGTCCTCACCAAGAGCTATTTTTAAATGCAGTCAGTCAAAACATTCTATTAGATACCACTTAAAATTTTCTAGAACTAGAAAATGCACTCGTAATAACATGTAAGATAAAACATGGATATATTAATTCACATTAATATAGAAACATCTATATTAATAGAAACTATGACCTCATGTGAACCCCTCCAAGCAAATTTTCCTCTACACTGTACACATAATTATATATGAACAGCATGTTTCAAATGTTGTATTCACATTTAAAAAATCTCCCACATCAAAAATGGTTGTTCTAAACTGATTTAAAAAAAATCTAAATAATAAATATCAGCATCAAAATATTAGGCCACCAAAAGTACAATCAGGGATAAAAATGCTCATGTTTCTTTCCAGTGCAAAGCTACTGTAAAATAAAGTTTAGGGCTGGGTTGTAACAGTGCTGTCACTTATGAATGATACCAAAGTATTACCTATTTCACTAAAATATGACATAGAATTGGCTATTCAAGTAAACACATGGGAATTTTTCACAGTGATAAAGATAAAAAACTAACCACCAATATGGAAGAAAAGGAAAAGATAGGAATGAAAAAGAGGAAAGAGAATGATTAAGACCCTGAATTGTCAAATCTGGCAGAAAAAAATGAGAGAGAGATGCTGGTACTAGGACTCCTTACAATGCCACCAATATCAAATCAAAATCTAGCCCCAAGAGAACAAGACAGATAAAATATATTATCAGGAAAATTAAATGGGCAGAAAGGCCAAGAAAAATGCCTTGGATTTTGAAATAAGACACTGTGAAACTGCAGATAAACAAACTATTTTTCAATTCAGGAAGACCATAACTGTGACAGTGAACATATTATGGTAAGTATGAAATATGTGGGCAAGAAGATGGTATGTGTGTGTGTGTGTGTGTGTGTGTGTGTGAGGAGATGGTGAATACACACACAAAGGTGGCTAATCACATGAACAAGTTCTTGATGAACTAATCACAGTTCTGTTCCTTATCGATCTAAAGCTCTCCTGAAGTCTCGTATGCCTAGAATTGGTGTGTTTCCTATCTGATATCACAGCCTGACACAAATGTCACTGAGAAAGCAATGCGCCTTCTCGAAGGGGTGCACACAAGTTTCCAAAATCACCCCCAGTGCCTGATACACTTTCCCTTGACACAACAATTGTTTATACAAACAAACCCTAATTATAAGTATTGATAACCATTTTTGCCTCTACCAAAGTATATTTTACCTGTCTTTTTGCTCAGATAGACCTGAAAATAATGAGATTCTAGAATGTCTTTGGGGATATTAAAATTATTTTAAACAGAAAATTGAAACTTCATCCAATAAACATATCCTGAACTGCTACTATGTTTGAAGGATAAGCTATGCTATTTAGGAGCTACTAACAAGGAAAAATACACTATAGGCGTCTTCTATTTCTATGTGCCCTACAGTAAATAATCATGACATTGCCTAATCCTTACATGTTACCATTATTTAGTTTTAAAATTAAAAGAGTTTTGTGAATTCTCTTGTCACATTTCTTCTAAGTGATCCTAGGCTCCACTTACATGAAGCCCGATAGCAACATAAGTCCACTCTGCCGCAGTAAAACAATCTTTTTTGATCAACTTACACTGCAGTTTTCAGGTGGAACTAGGAGTTGAGTAATCTCGCCACCATGTACACAGAAGATGTGTTTCATTTCTCCAGAAAATATGTCCCAAATTATGACCGAAAAATCCACACCTCCAGATACCAGGTGTCTTTGGTCGTAGCGAGCTGAGACCTGATGAGGATATAGCAAACATGTGACTTTGTTCCGATGACCACGGAGAGTTCTGTGAGGTGGCCAACCTGCGGATGAGGTTTTGGATTTAAAATGGGAAAATAAAAGTCTTGCAAAGTTTCAACAAATAAAAGTAAACAAGAATTGTCAAAACAGCTACAAATTTCAACAAAGAAAAGGCGTCTGATTTTATCTTCTGAAACTGCTCTGTCCACTACAGTAGCTACCAGCCAAGTGAGACCATCGAGCTCTTAAAATGTGGCCAGTCCAGACTCCCGTGTGCTGTACATGTAAAATGTACACGAGACTTCAAAGCCTTATAACATAAACAATAACAGTAAATATCTCACTGAAACGAAAATAGTTTTGCTATATGGGTTAAATAAAATATATTATTAAAACTAATTTTACCTGCTTCATTTTTACTCTTTTAATGTGGCTACTAGAAAATTACACTCATTATTACACATATATATTTCCACTGGAGAGCACTGTTCTAAAAGATGACTGGTATTAAGGACAACACTGGTCATTATTTAGTAAACCATAGAGGTAACTAGTAGTAAATGGAACTATTAATATACATCAAAGAGATAAAATCGGACACTTCTTTATTCACAATCAAATACTACTTATTCCAAGAACGGGCACTGACTATTTTCTCGTCTGCACACTAAACTCTGGCAACTGCAGCGCCCACTAACGAGGGCACTGACGCAGTGCGTTTGCCGAGTGCAGAGCGGCCAGCCTTGCTGGTGCTGCAGCCCCCGGAGCTCTCCAGACACTCAGACACGGGCGGGGCTTCGGGCTACCTCTTCGGAGCATGTGTTCCCCCTGCAGCAGCTGCACGATGGCTGTCTGGGTGGCCGGCACAATGACGATGCTTCCGTCTTCCCGGCCACACACGAGTCGTCCGTGTGCTGGTATGTACACACTCGCGGTCACTTTAAGAGGGTCGTTACTATTGGGAATCACACTCAGCTGATCTATAATTCCAGCAGGACAAGGAATGAGCTTATCAAATGCCTCTTGCAGACTAATGGAAGTTGTTATATCCAATCCTGTGGAGGTTTGGTTGTGTATAAAAAAGAAAAAAAGAAAAAAACATTGTGCATGTTAGAAAACAATAAAAAATATTAAAATAAACATGCTTAGAGTTGATTTAGTAATATACCACAGAATAATTGTCACCAACCATAATGCTAAGAAGAAAATGACATGACACCTGTTATTCAGTGGTTAGTATCTAGGTTGTTAAAGAACTCGGAATTCAGAAATTGCTGTACCCGACTCGCTCTTACCTTCTTTACCTTCCTGTTTATCAGGAGTGTCTGATATGTCCCAAATATTCAATCTTCCAGAAGAATCTCCCTGAATTAACAGTTTGTGGGAGAGCTCCCTGGGTCCACAGAAGAACCGAGTAACAGGAGGACAAATGAGCAACTGAAAAAAATCGTTCAAATATCTTTAGCTCACGTTTTAAACAAAATATTTCACACAGAAACATTATGATTTAATGTCATAAAATCCTACCCTGAAAAGCAATAATAAACAGACTTCAGTTTCGATGATTATAGTTAACAAATAACCTAATTATGTTTTGTAGCCTTTGGAAATATGTGTACACACACACACACACAAACACACACACACACAGAGCATAATCTATTATTTGACTTTCTGAATCCTGAAAATCACTGAAAGTTTTCATCGATAACATGCTGAAGGAGGAGAAGTCGCCTCGGCAGCTGTAATAGCCAATATTCTGTATTTCAATAAATGAGTGTCTCATAGCGCATAGTGATATCTTTTCATTTAAAATGCACTGGGGAGCTGCTATTTAAAGAAACAGGAAACGAATTTATTTTTTGTTTCTGTATACTTTTTGTAACACGCGCACCTGGTACTTCCACTGGGAGTGACTGCCTGGAGTGAAGGACAGGGAGTGGAAGTGGAAGTTAAGAGAAAGCAGGAGAGGCCGCAGAAGACCTTCACTGTGCACACACGTGCACATTCTGTATATTCAACACAGTCGTGGTGAAGAACAGTTCCCTTCCCCTGGTCGTCTTTCCACATAAAGGTGGAGCACAATTTTCAGAATGATAAAGCCATGGAAGCCCAGGTATGAAGGAAACTTTATTTTTAAAACCAAAGCTTCTTTCTTACTAGTAAAGAACCACTACTAAGAGTTGAAAACTCAGTACGAAGCTGTCAACTTTAAATTGATATTAACCAAGCTTTAAGAAATCATAAATAAACTTGGATTTTAATAGAGAAAAATGCTTTTTATTCTTCATTTCTAAAGTCTAATCATTTAAAGCACTTGTTTCGGGGGAGATGCTGCGATGTCCTTTTGGAATAACGACCTGCTATGAGTTAGCATTACTGCGTGATGATGTCAGCCCTTCCACGGGGTGTTCCCTCTGCACCGTGTTTACAATCGCATGACAGCACAACATAAACGCACACCATCAGTACAGTCTCTATCAGAAAGTCATTTCACCATGTTCAGTATTAAATCATCTGATTTAGTTCTGATTTAGTTCATCTGATTTAGTTCTGATTTAAATCATCTGATTTAGTTCTGATTTAGTTCAGCACTAAATCATCTGTATTCCCAGAGAATGGTGAACACTATATTGTAGGTATAATATATGTTTAAGGTCTGCAAACATTAAAATTGTGTTTATACCTGACCATGTCAAAGTGTTTTACAGTATCTAATGCAGTGCCTTGAACTGGAGTGAACCTTTCAAATGATTAGTTATGAAGAGGCACCAAAAATATAGTTATGAAAAATTGCCAATGTAATTATCAATTATAAATGATACCTGAATAATCTTACCTCTTTATCTGTTCGAGCCAAGAGGCTATGTTGTACAGGAGGAATTAAATTTTCAACCGCTTTCCCTACATCGCTGCGGAAAGAATCACTAGCTGGAAGGCAACTGAAAGTCAGAAAAATACAACACGCAATTAAAATACTGACATTGTTTATTTGTCAGTCCACATGATGAGGTTTTTGACATAGAAATAATGTGTTTTTTAATTATAATTAATTTAGCATTAAATTAAATAATGAATATCATTAAAATACCATTTCAGAAAAAAACCCACCTAATTTTTGTACTTAGAAGTTAAACTGCAATTACTCATTTAACCCAAGAAGCTCTGAGATTTTTTTTACCTACACTAATTAAATATTTACACTACCCATGTTTTCACACTTTCAGGTTATACCCCAACTTCAGAATCTTGCCTATGATTAAAGTTCTAACTTATTACTTATTGAATACCTGGCAGGGAGTTTGTAAATGTAACTCTGCCCATTTTCGGTCCAGATGATCACTTTCTCTGCCGACACAAAGTCGCCTCCGGTCCACGTCTGCCCGTCCTCACTGGGACCGGAGCACAGCAGGGAGTAGTCTCCAGCATCAAACACCTGCGAGGAATGAGACGGTCACAGTCGAGTCTGCGCTGGAGTCGGTTAAGTGAGAGGCAGCTGCACTCCAACTTCACAAACTAGGAAAAAACTTCTAGCCTCCAATTAACCCCCTCAGGCCTTTCGAGTCTGCTAGTCAGTTAAAGACATTTGGTCAGTGAGCTCGGGCCACAGCGACAGTCAAGAGGGAGACACTAGGAGGAGCCCAGCGGGGCAGTGAGACAGCAAACCAGGACCGGCGGCGGAGCAGGGCTGCAGGGTGGAGTCCCCAGCCTGCCTCGTCGACAGAACGACTGCACTGGGAACCAACCTGCGGGACGCACGGTGCTGACTCCTGTTTTAATACTGTCCAGTGACATTTCTAACAGGTGACTTTGATATCAGAATACCTCCTGATTAACGGGGGAATCACCTCACTTTACCTCTTTACATCAATGTTCCAAAGCACTGTAAATAAAAAGTCAGTAGACTCAGTTAATTTAATAATTCTCACACTAAAGTCCCTATAACGTCAACAGCAACACAGGCTGTTGACCTTCCACCATTCTCAGATGTCCCCGACTGTCACCTCAGGAGGCAAGCAGACAGGTGCTGCTGCCCCTTGTCACAGGCAGGACCCGGACGTAAACGAGGGTTCCGTCATCTGCTCTGGGCCATGTGTCCAGTAAGTGACAGAATGAGGACGACAGCCCAGTCTTACAGTTCCTACCAGAATGCTCCTTTCTACCACTTTCAAGATTTGAAAAAAGTGCATTCTGCACTGGTAGAAGATTTCCCCAGGAGGCATGACTAATTCAATAGCCCAGTTTTTTACTCTATTTTTCTTTAAAGAAAAAGAAAAAACAATGACGCTGCTTGTGCAAGAGCCTTGAAATCAGAACAAACCCTCGCTGAATTCCCCATGACTTGCTATGACATCAACATTCTTCAGTCTATAACATCAGTACTACAAGAATAGCCAAGAAAAAGCCCAAGAAAGGATAACAAAGGAAGACCACCCTTCTGCCCTATTGTCTATTAAGACAAATGATAAAGCTGAAGAGAATAGAACATGACAGCTACTGCCAGAGCTGTAATGAAGTTCATACAGTTAGTACATGAACAGACAGACAAACCAAGTCAGGGGACAAACTCAAGTAATACAGGAAAAAAGTGTATCACAGAGGCATAAGAACAGAAAGGTGAATTATTCAACAAACGACATCAGGAACTTGGGGGTGTTCTATTCGTCATAAAAGTAAATTGGTATTTATACAAAATTCACTCCAGATTAAAGATTCAGAGATATATAAGGTAAACTCACACAAACATTAGAAAAAAAAGATTAAAAAGATGTAAATCTCAGCTGTGGCAAGCCCTTTAGAACGTGTCACAAACTGTTTCAGAGGCCGTACAATAGAAAATGATAACTTAACCATACTAAAATTGAAAACTTCTTTACGGCAATAAATGTACCAAAAAAAGTCTTTCTGGTGGGTGGTGGTTTCACTTTGGTGCTGTTTTGTCTGCACTTCTCCGAGGATTAGTGCAGCCGAACACCTCTCTATCCTCACTGGCCATTTGGCTTCCCTCTGGGGAAATGTTTTTGTCCGTTCTCCTGCTTAGTTGTATTTTGCGTCTTGATTTGCAGGAGTTGGTTTTTTATAAATAGTATTCCAGTCCTTCACCATATGTGTATATTGTAAGTATTTTCTCTTACTCTGTGAGTTGGCTTTTCACTCTTATGTATGCATTTAAGAAAAGGCTGTTCTCACATGATTATAAAATTTATAAAATGAGTACACACAAAAAAAACTGGTATTAAACAATACCTCTGTGAGAGGAAGGGAAGTACCAGGTGTGGACTTTTCACTATGTCCTCTTGTACTATTTCTTATTACTATTTGCATAAATTTTGAATTTTAAGACAAAGGAAGGATTGCAGAGAGCTCACCACAAACTAAGCAGCCACCAGCTCTCCCTCTAACCTTGTTCTGGAACAGCAGAGGTGGCGAGATAACGTAAGATGCTGCTGCCTTAGTCAGTCCCTCCACCACTCAGCCTTCCCCTTCAAGGCAGGGCAGCCTGGTAGCAAGGAGAGCTGCTGCAGTGGGATCCCCGAACTGCAGTCCAGCAACTGTATTCCCACCTGAGAACTTGGTCAAGCTATCTATCCTCCCCGATGCCTTGGTTGCTTCACCTGCACAACAGGGAAAGTGACAATTCCCACTGTGCTGGGCAGCCTCTAGGACTGCCCCACCGATCCCCTGCCAGCAGTCACACCCTCCTGAGACCCTCTCCCCCAGGTGGAGGCTGGGTTCTGTGACTGCTTCTAGACAACCGCATGCAGCCGAGGTGATGAGCTCTCAGTTCCAAGGTAGGGTTGGTCTTGGCTGCACAATCTCTTCTGCGCTCACTCTGAGGGAAGCAGCTCCCCTGTGGTGACCTGTCTTAGAGAGAAGCCCACTTGGGAAGGAACTACTTGGCCAATGGTCAGGAGGCCCTGAGGCCTGCCAAGAGCCACGTGAGTAAGCTTTGCAGCAGACCCTCCCAGAGGGAGCCTTACCATGAGACAGCAGCCTCAGCCAACATCCTGCAGCCTGCAAGAAACCCTGAGCCAGCACCCAGCTGGGCTGTGCCCAGACCCTGACCCACAGATGGGCTGGTGATTCACGTATTAGATGGGTGATGATACCTGTCTGGGCTGTTTCGGAATGCTTTTGTTATGTGGCATTAGATAACTAATACACCTCCTCTCTCAGTTGTAGGAATTAAAATAAATAATGAATGGAAAGCTCTGGCACAAGAAGTCAAAGTATGCTGAAGCTTTTTCTATTAAAAAATGTTCAAGTCTGGTAATGTGGAAATAATCTACTCCTTCATTAGCTCTGAAGTGATGGAGGGAGACCTTCCTGACTTCGGAACAGAATGGCGACTGGGAATGGTAACCACCTGCAGAGAGATGGCAGCCTGCGGAAAACGCCCGCCACTGCTTATACTACGCTCACAAGACAAAAACTAGAGCAGTAGCAAAAGCAGAAATTAGATCAATAGAACAATCATTAACTGATCATTCTATAGACAAACAAAAAAGACAGTAATATATGGCCAAACCCCAATACCTCAAAAATATGCATATGAATAGCAAATGGTTTAAATATTCTTGCACTGAGTTTTTCCTGACCATTATCTTTAAAAGTCTGATAAACCAACATCTTTTTTTTATCCTCACCTGAAAACATTTTTTTTTCATTGCTATTAGAGAGAGGAAGGGAGAGGGAGAAACATCGATGCGAGAGAGAAGCATCAACTGGTTGCCTCCCATACGCACCTGGACCAGAGACTGAACCTACAACGTAGGCATGTGCCTTTTGGTTACAGGACGATGCTCCAACCAACAGAGCCACACAGACTTGGGCAAACATCTTAAAGGGTAAAAGTACAGCTTCTTACTTGTTATTTATCTTACCCTCCAATATTTGGAGCACACAACCAAAAGCGACCTTTGTGTGAATGCACAGAAAGAGATGCTTTGGCAATTCTGACAATAAATTGGTTTGGATTCTTCCTCAAATATTGGCTCAGTATCCTGAAAGGGAAAGATTAGCAAAATTTTAGGAATGGCTTGGTTGCCAATTAAAATTATTGCACAATAATAAAAAAAATGAAATAAAGACATCACTTGCAATGGTCATTTTTGTCCATCGTGTGAGAACCAAGGCAGTAAAAAGCAATAAAAATACATTATAAAAACATCTGGGAATGGCATCTTTGCTACAACACCACTCAGGATTTAAATACTGATGAGAACCAGAGTGGCATCACTCTGGCAATAACAGCTGATAAAAGTTTTGAGTCAACCCTAATTTTTGTAGCTACACATGCCTTCGTGTTTAAAAACGGCTGATCAACTCATCCAGCTTTCCCCAGATTTAATGTCTAAAACTTTCCTGGCTAAAGAGATTAACACCAATATTGTCAGAAAACGGATCCACCTTTCTTACTGAAAAGTACCAAGGAATGCAAGCCCAAAGAACAGGGACTGAGGAAGTTGGCTTTACATACTTTTTTTGTGATGCTTGGCTTTATTTTTTTCCCTAGAGCAAACTACTTTTTTTAACTTTGAACTTAAACAGAAACAACTGAGGAAGATCCTCTCTCTTCTCTATGTTTCTCTACTTCCGATCCTGTGCAATGTCTCTCTATTTCTGTCCTTGATACAGCCAATGTCGACCATCAAAAGTGAAAAAATTAATCCACTTACAGGGAGTGTGTTACTAGGAGACCTTCTATCCTGTATCAGTAAGGCTGTTTTAAAAAACTAGCTTTTCCTTTCCCCTTTAAGAAAAGAAGGCACACATGTCACTACTGAAATTGAAGACTTCATAAGGAACACAGAGAAAGTAATTCCAGTCTCATCTGCCTCACCTGCATGCCACTCACGTCAGAGGTAACAATCCACACCTTCAAGATGCCCGTCACTGAGAGGGCTACCACGGTGTCCTCTGCGCCAAGGAGGGACAAAAAGCCAAGGTTAGAAATACAGTGTTTCTGTTTCTACACTGTTTCCAAATAGAAACACCATCGCAATAGTAACATGGAACCTGGTTCGCTTTCATTAAACTGCATAACAGTACCTTTTATAACTGGCATAAAAACATAATTCTGTATTTCATAAAATAACAGGAAGTAGATTCTGAAACAAAATAGAGATGACCAAATTTTGGGAATTCAGGGAAAAGCTGTTTCTAGCTACTTGAAATTATGTTTTGTTTGTAATTACATTTTTAATAATTTAAAAAATTCTCGATTACTATGTTAACAACTGTTATCTTCAAAATTCGTAACTTTTAATTACTTATCATGGATGCGCAAACTCACTTGACTCCTTCAAGGCACTCATTCACCCACGTTCCCACCTCTCTTGCCTGCCTTCTAGACACAATACAACCCCCACAGATCGTGATCAAGAGAAAGACAAGATGAAAACCTAAATTCACAAGCTTTGGGTAAGAGTGCAGTCAAACACACCCGGAACTCTCACTAAATTTAACTGTGCACAATCCCCTTCCTTTTCATTCGCTTCACATAAAATGGAAACACTTCCTATGCCTCATGCAAGTGACAAAACCACGCCCAAGAAATGCACAGGTGGAACCAGAGTTCCTCCCGCCCTTCCTGCGAGGGGTTAAGACCTCGTTCCTCCCTTTCCGGAACTCACCCCCACACTGCGACTGCTGAAAGCTAGTGGCTATTACACGGAATGGAAATAACCGAACACTTTAAATCTTAATTCAACCAAAGAATCCTTTATGAAGGTAGAGATGGACCATAAACGACTAGCTATTTCTTAAATAGACGAACATGGCCAAACATATCCATATGTGGCACATTCTAGAACTCTACAGTGAACTAAGCCTAAGCCACGGAGCTGATGCTCCAAACAGGTACCACACCACTGACCTTGTGTTCGGCAGGATCGAATGACACTCATGGAGCTAATCCAGTCCGGAGAGATCTTTGACACTAAGGAGTACAACACCTCCAGGCTGGTGGCATCCACCACAAGGATTTCAGGGTAGTGGCCGTGGCACAACAGCCTCCCTTCTCTCTGATTTCCCACAGAGAACTGGTAGAACTGGAAGGAAAAATATTTTAAATGTTCTTTGCAAAGATACATGAGTCACATGCATTCATCAGTTATGAGGCTTATTTTTTTCAGTAATACTTCCAGATGTGTAATATGCGGTATATATTACATGTCTATGTATGCACATATACACATCAAGTTACATTATATTTCAAAATATCTAACAAATATTCTTCTTTTCCTCACACCTATCCTCCCTTTTGAACTACATTGGAAAATTCCCAATTCTCCTTTTTATCCTCCTGAAGCATCAGAAAGAGGATGGTTGAATGAATTAATAAACTATCAAAATAAAATCAGATTCACAAATTAAAGCAAAGGAGAGGCGCAGATGGGTCACAAAAGTAATAGCAATTTTAGATGAATAGGAATAGGTGGTTACAGGATTATAATTACTAGCTCTGACCAAACAAACTTTAGAAGATGGTCAAACATATTATGATCGGAAGCAAATTCTGAGGAACCTAAGTGTGCTATTTCAAACTAGAGGATGAGACAACTTTGTCAACTATTCCCAGAGAACACGTTTACACTTCGTGGAAGGAAAACAGAAGAAGAGCCAACACAATCACAATCGGTGTATCGCTGCTGCCAAACATAACTAAGTCCAAAGGATAAGATCGGTTTCCATCCACTGAAGAGCCGAGGAAAAATAACTATCTCAACAAGGCCAACATCGTATCCAAAAAGGACCTTAGCTTCAAAAATCATGACTCTCTTTCAAATGATCCCCCTATGGGATTTTTGAAGGTAAAGACCTCTGATTCCCAGACTACCACCTCCCAAGGATGAGACCTCGCCCGAATCACACGAGGGCAAGCTAGATGGCACACAAGGCAATGCTGTAACCATTCCACAGGTGGGACATTACTAAGAAACCCGGGGCCAATCTGCTCCCACAGCCGTTAGACCTGTGTCAGGGCCCAACATGTCTGCGGAGAAATACAATCTTTTCTCCAACGTGGAGAGGCTTGTGTAAAAGGGACAACTGCTCACACATACACACTGATCGGCACATTCAGTAAGGGCAAGGCAGCACCACTGGAACACTGAGAGAAGATGCGCTAAAACGCAGACCGAGAGGGGGGCACCTCCAGACCTCAGGAGGCTGGTTCAAAAAGCACGACACACAACCTAGGGGGCCCGGGGACTGCCAGGCACTCCCGTGTGATAATGCAACCAGAGGTAGTCTTGACCCACAGAAGGGGAGGGGGTGCCAAGGAGCAAAGGCTGGGTGCAGAGAGGCGAACTTGGTCACTGATCATCCAACACCAGCCGGGAGAGACAGGCGCGCCGCAGGCACCAGAAAAGAGGCCTCTCCTGAGGGCGGGGCATTTTCCCACGCCTGCCTGCCTGAGTGCCTCCCACCTTTGGCTTTGAAGTTCAACTCCCAAACAATCTTTTAAACACTAATTTGGCTTCTTAGACACTTACATACTGGCAAAGAAAGTGCCCTGAGGAGAATATTAAGCAGGGATGTCCCCACATGACAGTCTCCTACGCTGGCATTTCGCTGTACTTCAGAAAGGGCAAGTCACCAAGCTTTACCGTTTCTCTGTGTATAAAAACAACTCGCTTCTGCACCCGAGAGGGTGAAGATCACACAGGAAACAATTGTCATGCGCCAGTGAACCTGCAAGGAGCATCTTCTCCTTAGAGCTGGCGGCCAGCCTAATTGCAGAAGGCCTGCCATGGGATCTGATAAAGAGGCGGCACTGGAAAAATGCTGAATAAATACAGATATTCTTCCTAAAATGTAAACCAAAAGTTTTTAAATCATAAAGTTATGCAACTGTCACAATACTCAATCCAAGGAGTTCAAGACATTTGTATATAATTTTCCAATTACAGGGGCCTATCAAGCCAATGACTCTCCATCATTTTATTAACCTTTTCTCTCTATGAACCTTGAAGGTCCTTTGTATGATAGAAAATATACAACAAATGCCTTTTAAATAAAAAGCATACACCTGACAGCATTGAAAAGGAAAATTTTCACAGGCCTGTGCCTACATCACGCTCATCACCACCTCCCCCACAGACATTTCCACTGCTTTTCAATCTGGGCTGGCACAGAAGGTTTTTCCTGCAGCAAACGGCTGCAGTGGTTTGATTTCAGGGAGGCAGTATGACAGAAAGGACAAGTCCCTTGAGTCAGAGAAACCTGATTTGGGATCCTGGCCCCTGGAATGACTCACTGTGAGACGGGGGCAAGTCACTTAATCCGCTGGGTCTGTTTCCTTATGTGTGAAACGACACTCGCATTTAATTAGAAACGATGTGGGAAGGACTAAATGAAACACCACACAAGAAATGCTTACACAATATCTGCTCAAAAATGTAAGTTCTCTTCTCTTCCTTCTCCTTCCCCGTTAAGAACATAAATCATATTTCCTATATACTTGCAATTTTCCCTACACTCAACACAGTAAATGATGAGTGACTAGCAGCACAAAAACCTGACAATTACGAAAGAGTAAGAAGAGTTCTAGGAACGTAAGTCAGAAACCACAAATTCCTGTGCAAATTCCCGGGCGAGCCAGCCACAGGGAATGGTCGTTTCTTGTACAGAGTTGGAAAGTCAAACAGCGCACCTCAGCACCAACTACACAAACACTGGAAAGGATATGATCCGCAAAGTGGGTCAATTTGTGTCAAGACGAGCGGAACCAGAAGGGCTCCAGCAGGAGAGAATCCCCTTACTTAGGGTCCAGGTGACTTACCCACCTGGCGCCTCCCCCTTCGGGCTCCTCTACCGCCCCTCCCCCGAGATGCCCACGATACCACTGCATGAGGAACACTTCCACTGCTCTCATTCTGTCTTCTCCGCCCCACCCACTTTAACAGAAAAATACAGTGCAGTGTTTAAAAAACATTTTTTACTCAAATACCTGCAGTAACTGTGCTGACTTGGGCAGTTACAGAAGTAGATACTCACCTGTATACCAGTGTGTGTGCAGGCTAATTTTGTGAATTCGATGCATCTGCCATCATTCACATCCCAGAGACACATCTCTCTATAAAGCGAAGTAATAGCAAACTTTAAACTGGATTTTTAAAAGCACTGCTCAACTCTGTCACAGTGGTATAAGAGCAATCTTCCATTAAAACTGGTGTGTTTCAGAAAAAGTAGTGCATACTCATTATTGCTATTCATCAAAAGTCCTGGTCCTCCCACTCACGTCCCAGCCTCCTTTCCAACCCGCCCACCCCGCCTTGATCCACACTGTTTCTGAGCATTTGGTAGGATTACACTTCTAGTTCCCCTTTGGTCGGTGGAGTACTGTGAGTGGTTCTGGCTAGAACTGATGCAAGACTCTCCAGAACTTTCTCTGTCCTCTGCCTTTGTCCCAGATACTGGCTGATTCGGATAGTGGTTGCTCCCTCAACCTCAATCTCAAGGTTAGGATAATAACAAAGCAGAGCAGAACCCCAAGTGACATGGTGGGGCGGGAGAGAGGCAAGAGACAAAAACAAGAAATAAACTACTAATTTATAGCACTGGAATGGTTATCAACAGAACTATAAAACTTAGCACTGCAAAAAACAAATAAAGTTAAAATTCTAAGCCTTTTCAAATTAAATATAGTATTCCAGTTTTGATTCTGTGTTTATTGCAGAAGTTTTATTAAATGCATAGGCAGAAAAGCTTACATGTCAAATTAAAAACCCAATATTCAAAAGCAGAAATGCCAATGTCTTCCTTCTCTTAAAAAAAAACAACTTAAATGCCCTTTTCTATATCTCACATGGCATGAAACGATTTTTTTCAAAAAAAGCTCAGTCTATTTAGACTATGTATTTCTAACGTGAGTCATACTTGAATTGACCAAAAAGTACTATGTTTTTACCTGATGCTGACTCTTCTTCCAAATAGTCATACAAGGTTCTTTTCAAATTCATAAAGTTATGGGGAGGGTGGAGGACACAACTTAGATAATTACCTTCCAGTTCCCCAACTCTCTTCAATGACATATTGTGAACATGTACAATTTTCTAAGCACCAAAAAAGGTTTTAAACTTCTGTACACTCTGTATCCATTGTCCACTGTCCAACAATCTCTCTCCAAAAGGAAGTTGCATTCCGAGCTTTAGGAATACATGTGGCTACACTCGTGTATTAGTATACATCAATACAGCTACATGATCTTTTGTGTGGCTGCACCTCCCAATCTGATGCTAGTGCAGCATCATCAGGTTTTAAAAACTGTTAGAGATGCCCGTCAACTCAACAGCAACACCAGGATAATGCTCAACTTCAGCTTTCATGGTATTCTGAGTTTCCCAAAAGCAAGGTAAAGACATAATACATTATAGTAAAAGTATTATAAAAGTCATTAATAAAGATGAAATGCACATTTCTAAAACCACATTTCCAAGTATCTTTGAGTTTAAACAACTCAAGAATTTAGTTAAGATACGAAAGAAGTACTTCCCTGCTCACTGCTGCACTGGGACTCCCTGCAGTGAAGACTGACGACTCAGGGGAGAAGAAAACACTTACCCACTAGCGGACGCGCTCACAATATACTGTTTGTCACCAGAAGCGCATGCTCTAGACAAGCAGGTGATTGAAGCCGTGTGACCAAACAACAGTGCTCGGGGGTTAACCTAGAAACACACACATCCATGGTATGAGAACCAAATTTTAAAAAATTAATCTTTTTTAGGGATCCAGTTAAATATTCACGTGAATATAAAGATATAGATTTGAGAAGAATTGCTCGGAATACCAAAACACTAAGAAGAACGGGACAGTGACTGCCACCTATTTACTGCTCCCAGTCTCCCTGCCCGGTGGTTCTGACACTGCAGCTGGAACACCGAGAGGGGACATTACTTGTCCAGCATCAAAACCAGAGTGATGGAGACGGGGTTCACACCAGGGCAGCAGGTCTTAAGCTCTAAGCTGGAGTATACTGGGAAATCAGGTTCAGAGTGTGAATTAGCACGTAAAATAATTTAACCTCACTTATTTTTTAAATAATAGATTCTTTGATCTAAAAGCACATTTGAAGTGTCTAGATTGACATCGCCAAATACAAAAAAAAAAAAATAGAGTACAGAAATCCTCCCAAATGCTGATACCAACATTAACTGTCAGGAACTAAGAATGACCTTCACAGGATAATGATTTAGTGACATAATACCTTACAGAAAGAATTGCCCAAAGTCATGCAACTACACAGAATATCCACTATTCTAAAGCAGTCTGACAATACGCTCCCAGATTTATCCACTTTGTACCAAACTACATGTTATTACTTCAGGGCCTTATGCTATTTGGGGAATGTATTTTTTAATTGAATATTTAATACATACAAATAATATAACATGTAAGATATAAAGACTGTATTGAATAGCCACATATTGCAAGATCTAGTGAAAAAGAACATGGCAAATACCTTTAAAGCCTCTTTGTAGCACCAAAGGTGTCCATCTGGCAAACAATTTATCCTAACTTAATAGGAAAACTAAATTATTCAGAATTAAATATTGCACTGGAAGAGTACTGAGATTGTATGTGACAGCTGAAGACATTTTCCAAATCAAATTCATCTCAGCCATCCTTTGCAGTTATAATTAAGAGAAAAATGTAATCATTACTTAGGGTTAGAACAGGCCCACAGCGTTTTCTCACATCCAACCCTGCCTCTCTACAAAGACTCAGTGTTCTTTCACTGCAAGGAAAGCTCTTCATCAATTCTTTAATTTCTCTCAAGAAAAGTCAAATTTACCAACAGTTAATTTTATATCTTATGTATATGGCTTTGCTTGGAACTACTGTTTTCAGCCATAATAGGGAAACTAGAAACTGGACTTTACTTCCACCAGAATCTAGAAAATGGACAAAAATACTTGGGTAAGGCTAAAAAATCAGATGGTCATCTCAACAGAGGCAACAAAAGCATTTGACAAAATTCAATATCCTTTCATGATTAAAAACTCTATCAAGGGTGCGCACCCTGCGGCCCACAGGCCACACGTGGCTCAGGACGGCTATGAATGTGGCCCGACACTAAATCGTAAATTTACCTAAAACACAACAAGTTTTCTTTGTGTGATTACACGTCACAATGCATTTACAGTGTGCCCCAGGACAACTCTTCTTCTTCCAGGGTGGACCAGAGACGCCAAAAGGTGGGACACTCTTACTAGGTACAGAAGGACTGCACCTCAACGGAGGCCATCCATGACAAGGCTGCCATTCTACTCAACCATGAAAAAGCTAAAAGCCTTTCCTGTGAGATCAGGAACATGATGACAAGGATGTTTATTCTTGCCACTTTTATTCAATATTATTGTAACTCCTAGACCAAGTGATTAGTCAAGAAAAAAAATAAAAGGCATCTGAATTGAAAAGAAAGAAGTAAAACTGTCACTGTTTGAACATGACATGATCTTATATAAAGAAAATTCTAAAGGCTTCACCAAAAGACTGGAAAAACCAATCAACAAACTCAAGTAAGTTGAAGGATACAAAATAAGCATACAAAAATCAGTTGTGTTCCTACACGCTGACAACAAAATATCTGAAAGAGAATTAAGAAGGCAATCACATTTGCAATGGCATAAAAATATAAAATAAAATACTTATGAAAAAAATTTAACTAGGGAGGTGAAAGACCTGTGTAGAAAAAAATTGTAAAACAATCATGAAAGAAATGGGAGAAGACAAGTGGAAAAATATTGTACATTCTTGGGTTGGAAGAATTAATATTGTTAAAATGGCCATACTACCCAAAGCCATCTATACATTCAATGCAATCCTATCAAAATTCCAATGGCATTTTTCACAGAAATAAAAAACAATTCCTAAATCATATGGACCCTCCAAAAATTCAAGAGATTCTGGAGTCAATTCGAGAGATTCCAGCCCTGGCTGGTGTAGTTCAGTAGATTGAGCACAAGCCTGCAAACCAAACAACCATGGTTCGATTCCCAGTCAGGGTACATGCCTGGGTTGCAGGCCAGTTCCCAGCAGGGGACACAGGAGAGGCAACCATACATTGATGTTTCTCTCCCTCTCTCCTTCCCTTCTCCTCTAAAGATAGATAAATAAAATCTTAAAAACAAAAAAGACAAAGGATTCCAAAGAGCCAAAGCAATTTTAAGAAAGAAGAACAATGTTGGAGACCTCACACTTCCTGATTTCAAACTCTATTATAAAGCTCTCGTAATCCAAAGAGCATGGCACTGGCATAAACACAGACACACTGACCAATGGAAAAGATTGACTGCGATACAGAGACAACCATCCCCAAATACATCAATGCCTAGTATCAGTGCTAAATCACAATTATAATCACAGTTATAAAATCAAGAGTTATAGAGGGAATAAGCATTAATATTATTAATCAGAAGAAAAAAGTAAATATATGGCATGGTATTACATTTATACCTCTTATTTATATTTCACCATATTCCATAAAAATGTATGTCATAGTCATTAACTAAACATTTTCACATACCATCAGTACACAGAAGTATCACAAAATAATCTAGTCAACTGATGCACAAAAACTGTCCATCTTCAACGACCACACAGCTCCAAGTGACAGATATCAAGTTATCAGTGGCAATACAAGGTATTGCAATAAAAAGATGTGATGTGTCAGTTCTTAAGTAAGAGTAAACAGTAGCACCAGCGCTCCAATCTGGGCCTTGAGGCTAGCTGGTTCCGCGCTGGCCGTCATTCAGCACTCTTCTTTTTTAATCCCCTTTACCTGTCTTTTTTTTTTTCCTTTCTATACTGAGATGCTATACTTAGCATTTATTAAATAAATCTTTATTATGTGCAAGCACTGTTATAGCTGCTTAATACCCATTCCTCCATAGAATCCTTAACACAACCTTTCGTGGCAGGATGTATTTCAGACGTGGCAGAAACAGACAGACAAACAAAGGAGGTGAGGCTTAGGCACACACTTGGTTTGTTGCCCGAAGTCACACAACTACATACCAGAGCAGCTAAGACTCAAGCCGTGTGCCTGCTTTCAAAGGCTAAGAACCCACCGTGACATTTACTTCTTTCCTTAATGCCATGGATGACATGGTTCTCTGCACAGGTCTGCTTCCCGATGGGAAGGGAAGCTCCAAGCGGATGGGAACCAGTCTCATAGATATTCAGCAACTGCACTGGCAGTGAAGCTTTACAAATTTTGCATATAAACGACAGTATGTCTACCAACAGGTTTCCTCCTTTACTCTTAGCATCTCTCTAGGTACCCACTGAACTGCTGCTCCTGCAGTTTCTCTATGACATTGTATTGCCACCTGCTCGGCCACAGAGCCCTTTTCACCTGTAAATGGAGACCAAGATACAGATGGCAAAAGTTCTAGCTACAGTTCTGAATCCTTCCCTAGCAAAAGAAGAAGAGAAGATATCATGACCTTTAAAGAAGGCATTTTGTGCCTTCCTTCTGAATGTTACATTTCTTTTTACTGGCCTTTAATAGTTGGCATAAATAGTTGCTAAAAAGTACAATACTTAAGAAGACCCTCCATATATATCAAAAGACAATACCCGAGCCACCTTTTATTTAGCCTTCCTTCCCCCTGGATAAATAGCCCAATTCCTTTAGCGTCTGTCAAGAGAGATATTTCTCTCCTAGCTGCCTCCCCCTGCACTTCTAACACCTGCCTCGGTCACTTTTATCCCTCCTAAATAAACATAATGTTCTAGTGAAATCCATGCAGTAAAAGAATTGTTTCTAAAATCTTACAAGTTAAATCTTAACTGCTTATAATCACTCCAGTAAAACATGGTATTATTTTTTTTCCTGTCTGGTGTGCCTCAGTGGATTGAATACCAGCCCTGCTAACCAAAGGATCACTGGTTCTGTTCCCAGTTAAGGCACACGCCTGGGTTGCGGGCCAGGTCCTTATTGGGGGTGTGTGAGAGGCAACTGATGTATGTATCTCTAGCTGTTTCTCTCCCTCACTTTTTCTACCTTCCTTCTCTCTCTAAAAGTAAATAAATAAAATCTTTTTTAAAAGGGTGTTATTTTTTTCTCCTCACTGTGTGGCTGATTCATATTTAGTTTGCTATCACTTCTGAAAGCATATCACATTCTACAATACTCTAACTACTTTGCAACTTATAAATCTAGCTAGCCTTTACGTGTTACCCAAATGCACGGATCGTTTGTCCAGTTGGCAATTTCACACTAGCTGTATACCTAAGAGCAATGGAGACATGTCCACACAAAAACTCATACAGAAATGTTCACAGCAGCATTACCCAATATGGCCAAAGGAGAAACCATCCAAATATCTACCAACTGAGAAAAAGACAAATAAATGCGGTACACCCATACAAATGGAATATATCTGGCATTTAAAAGAAATGAAATATTGATACATGCTACAACAGGAATAAACCTAGAAAATACTATGCTAAATGAAAAAAAGCTACTCACACACACACACAAAAAACCATGTATTACATAATTCCATTTATATGAAATGCCCAGAATAGGCGAACCCGTAAGGATAAAAACCAGATTAGCCCTGGCTGGTATGGATCAGTGGATTGGGCACCGGCCCGTAAACCAAAGGGTGGCTGGTTCGATTCCCAGTCAGGGAATATGCCTGCATTGTGGGTCGGGTCCCCAGTTGGGGGGGGGGGGTGAGAGGCAACTGATCTATTTATCTAAAAGAGAAGGATGTTTCTCTCCTTCTCTTTTTCCTTCCCTTCCCCCTCTCTCTAAAAATAAATAAATAAATAAATAAAATCCTTAAAAAATAAAAAGCGCAGGAGACATTTCAAATACTCACTTCCAATTCTGCTGAAAGATCCCAGAGACATATCTGGCCGTCGTGGCATCCGGTTACGACCGTGGTCCCGTCGTCTGTTAAGAGCACCGCTGAGATGCAATGTGTGGGTGCCCTGCGGCCCCAGAGAACGATGGGCAGAACAAGGCTGTTTCCTGCCATTGTGTTTTGAAACCTGGAAACATTATCAGAGTAATGCCAAATATCACACATGCATATGACACATTTTTATTATGAAACCAACTTAAACTCCCAAAGCCTAAGAATTCTAAACATTCTTCTAAACATTTTGTATATACATATATTTTATATACAAAAAAGTATGTAAAAATCTCATTTCTATATATGTAAAATGCAATTAAAATCTAACTGACCCTCCCGACGAACCATGCAGGAAGTACCACTGTCGCTCCTCTTCCTCAATAAAGACACTGAGTCATGAACAGGGAAGGAGCGGAGCTTCCGTCGGAACCCAGCAGCCTGACTCTGCCATGCTGCCCGCGACAAGCGGGGTCTCCAGATCTTTCTATGTCTCCAAACCAGTAACAAACATCAAGGCCAAGAAACACTCTGTGTTGTTTCACAGTTCTAAACATTAAAAAGTATGTGTTCAATGGGAAACTCATTCAACCGTATTTATTACCAACCTATTATGTCTCAAGGTCATGAGGGCCTTTTATGAACGTTGAGAGAAAAAGGATTTCTCTTTCAACTCCTTTCTGCATAATAAAAATTTAGTTCTAGTATAAATACCTAAATACAAGCTCAGAGACGGTAGAGGGAAACGAAGATTGGAACAATCAACAAGGCTCCACAGAAAGCAGAGCGCTGCCAAGTCTTGTGAGACCCGCAGAGGCATGGGGGCGGGGGTCACCTCTAACAGGCCTGACCATGGTCAGGCCAAAGAAACATCACAGTGGTGATCTTTTTCCACCCAAGATTTTTAAGTGGCAATAACAACACGTGCATAACGATGGACTCTCTAGAATGCTGAGACTGTCCTAAGATACTTTCAGTAACACTCATAGGACAGACACTTTCGTAAAAGAAACTAGTTTGATAGCCATGGTCTAAATGCTAGATGCTTTTAGCAAACGTCTTTTCTTTAAGGTACTACCTGTACTTATTAAACAAAACATGAAAGCTAAGATCTCTTTTAAAAAAGAATAGTCACTAGAAAATTAGGCAAGTAAAAAAATTATGAAGACAGTGGAATGTTTACTAAAAACATATATATATTGCATCTTTTATTTTTTTGTTAAATACATGGCCTTCATTCATTTTTTCTTCCAAAATTATCTTTTTGCTCTAAGTAAAAAGTATACATTTTTAATAAAATCCAAGTTTAGTTCCTATTAATAAAACCCTGTCTGTATCATGTCCACCATTTCATAAACGACCCTGATGCTCACCACTATTTCCACATCTCTGTTTGGTACCAGAAAATGGAACAACGCACTGAAGCAACTCTAACAAACTTGGTACGGCATGTTCCTGGCTGAGTAACACATCTAACAATGATCTTCTCAAACTGAGAAACTGGAAGGAGCTCCAGTCTCCATGGTGACAGCACCCAAAGAAGATGCCTCTCAATTAAACAAGCTCACAGCACGAAGCTGACATGGCGAGATCTGGAGAGAACACTGCTTCTCCAGATACCTGAGGACTCCCATTCGGGGCCTACTGCCCGGCGTAAAGAGAATGCACACACGAAGCCTCGGGACTAAGGAACGTGTGTGCTCTGGACAGATGGGCCCGCCTGCTGGAACACTCAGGAGCATTCTGGAATTCGAGTGACAGGGAGACTCGAGAAAACCTGGGAGAACAGTGCATTGCCCTTACGACAAGCGACAATAATCATCCATAGCATGATAAAGGCATAGCTTATGTCATTAAAAAACCCAGCTTCTCAAGTAGCTAAAATAATCACAAAGATTTCGGAAAAAACTAATCCGCGCATCCTCACAAAAATTCAAGAACTGACAGTCAGTCGACCAGAACCTGAGAGTTGTCATTAAGGGCAATTAAGGATCTTCATTAGGGATTGGATTCGTTTTCTAGAGATGCTGTGCCTACAAACTGAGTGGCTTACACAACAGAATTTGTGTCTCACAGTTCTTGAGGCTCGCAGTCCAACACAAGGTGTGAACGGGTGGGGAGGGCCAGCTCCCCCCGGGGGCTGTGGAAGGAAGGGCCTGTTCCGGGCCGCTCTCCACGGCTTGCAGGTCACCTTCCCGTCGCCCGGCGTTCTCCCCGTGTGCATGTCTGTCTCCCGCTTTCCCTTTCTATGAGGACATCAGTCATATTGGATCAGGACCCACCTGGTGACCACATTGTAACTTGACTACTTTTCTCAAGACTTAAAAAACCTTACATTCTGAGGTATGAACTTCAGCATATGGATTTTAGGGGAAAACAATTCAACCCATAACCTTTAAAAGGAATATATCCTTTTAAAAGAACATAACCTAAAATTCGCTAATTATCCAAGAAGCAATTTCCCCTAAAAACTGATGGTAAAGAAATTCGCTCCATCTTTCCCAGGGGATCACAGTTAACTGTTTATCTGAGAAATAAGGTAAGAAGTTCTGTGTCACCAAAGTAAGGAGTCACCACCTTATGTTGTGTGTGTGTGTTTGTCTGTGTGTGTTTGAAGGGTGGGTGAGAGGGCCAGAATCCAAAGTTCACTGCAGTAGTTCTAAAGAAATTAGACTGTACAAACTAACCTGTCTTGACTCTGAAATACACACACACACACACACACACACACACACACACCCTGTGCTAATTTTTGGCTGATCTACAAGAACAAAAAAAGCTCTACACAGGAAGTGCCTGTTCAGTGAAACATTTAAAAGGTAACAATCAGAAATGAAGCTGCGGTGGGAATCACAACCAGTAGCTGATATTCATACACTTTACCCCTGGGATTGGGGTAGTTTTAGTGAAATACAGAAGAAACAGAAACAACTTCTACATAAATAATAATCTATCAAAAGGGCATGGTGACCAACCGGAAGATGGTATTGAAAGACACAGGGGAGTAAGGTTTCAGATCTTGGCTAGGGAGGGGGAACAGAGTCTTATTTACGGACTCATGTGCAGAAATGGATTTGTGGCCTCGGAACACGCTTGCTGTTAACAGGGTATTAAATCAGGGTCGGGGGCAGACTGTGGGGAGAGGGGTTTGGGGGAGTGTCTGAAGGTTGAAGGCAGAGAAAACTGTCCAGGACACTGGGGCACTGGCCCTGAGGTCTCTCCCCGGACACGGGTACATCCTTGCTAAAATGCTGCATTAGTTAAAAACAATAGGAGGGCTCGGCCTTCCTAAATACTCCTCTAACTTCAGACTCAGTGTTTTGCTGCACAGGAAAAATAAACTCCCTAGTTGTGTAAGGCCACAATTTTCGAGTTTTGTTACATGTAAATGTACACTATTCCTACCTGCATGTGCAAATACACTACACACCCAAAGTGTGTGAGAAAAATATATACCGCCTAGGGGAAGTGGTAAGAACAAGAAATTACAGTAAAGGAAAAAGCTTAAGGCCCCTACAAGCAGCAGGGGGAGCCTCGCTGGGGCGAGAGGAGAACAGGGAAACAAATACCGGGACCCTCCCGTGCCCAGGCCCCTTCGCACATTGGCAGAAGGTAATTAAAATGCACCCTTAGTCGGCCAACACGGGGAAGGTTCATTTGCCTTAGATAGTTTAGGTGGGTCACTGTATAATGTGTATATATTTCAATTTTATACAAGCCCAGTATAAAAGCCAGTTCTGCCTAGATTATAAGAGATTTTTTTTATAAAAGCCAGTTCTGCCTAGATTATAAGAGAATTCAAGAAAGGTACACCCCAAAGAAACACAGTGATACCTCCTTCCAGCATAGAAATGTGCTAGTTCTTATTGTCAAGATTGCTTTGATATTCTAGGTCCTCTTAATCTCTGTACAAATTTAAAAACCAGCTTGCAAACTTCTGCAGAAAAGCTGCTGTGGCCATGGCTAGAGCTGCATCAAACTCACACATCAGTTCGGAGAGCGCTGACTTCTCGGGTTCTGACGCAACTCTACTGGTGCTCAAGTGCGTTCTAAATCCAAGGTTACTTCTTAAAGGGATTTAAGGCCAACGGAGCATGTTCAGCTTTTTAACTTCAGTCAACAACAATGAAAATAATCATTGAAAGAACAGTGAACTCACAGTCGAAAGAACTGCACTCAAGTCCTGGCTCGTCTGTGCGATCTTGAACAGGTGGCCCCGCTGGGTCTCAGCCTCCCCATCTGTAAAAGATGGACAGTAACACCTCCTTTCAGAAAGCTGCCACGAAGCTTAAGAGAAACCAAACATGTAAGACAATTAGTGCAACACCTAGCACCACCTGGTAGATGCTCAGGAACCATTAATTTAAAGAAAAACACAGATCTTGCAATTTCCCATTCTGCTTCCACATCTACTGGGTTCTTCCAGCTTTGCCACTTAATAATTAATCAAGTTGGATTTCTCAGCAGGTTAATCTCTTTCATTGACTTTCTGCCACAACATAAAAGTATTACCGTATATGTTTCTCAAACATAATTCTATTATCTGCAAATGTGACAATTCAGTTCTGCACGAGTTTGTCAAAAATAACACTACAAACTCCCTTCCTGATAGTAAAATAGCTTTCAAATTAAATTCTGCTCTCATAACAACCATCATCAGTACACATTTCCCAAGTTTCCACTGTGTGCCTAAACCACGGCACGACAACGGTGTATTAAAAAAACACAAGTCAACTATCCAGTAGAGGTTACATACACGCAGACAATTACCACAGAGTGTGCTGCATTAGAAACCTCAAGACCACAAATCACAGGTAAAGACAAAAGATGAACATCCTAACTTAACTTCAATGGGTCCTGGAAGAATTCCTGGAGGAAATGGTGAGCGAAAATGAGTAAGATCTGACTTAGGAAGAGGCACACAGAATCACACGTTCTAGGGCCCAGGGGTAACAGACCTCAAGCCTTTCTGGACAGTGAAACTCTCAGGGCTGGGCTTCAGAGCAAAGGGCGGAATGACAAGAGAAGACCGGCAGGCCACCAGGTGAAGGGCTCGGCCAGCCTTGTTAAGGAACTGGGATTCAACTCACAGCAGTGGGAAACAGGTCAAGTGTTTTACTGGATAAAATCTGACCATTACCACCCAGGAGAGGAATAGGGAAAGACAGAGGGAGCAAGAAGGGAGGGGAGGAGGGAAGGTGAGAAGGTAAATGAGGCAAAGAAGAACCGAGGCACAACCTGGTCTTGGAGAAACTGTAACTCAGAAAACATTCCCCTGAAATGGCACCAGAGAATTCAACCAAAAGGGCCCCACCCCAGTGACCCCTCACCTCCCTCACCTCGATCAGTGAGCCAAGTCACCTCCAAAGCTGGTGAAATGGGGGTTTGCCTCCTGCTGGTCTGCTTTTGTTTTTCATATTTAAGCAGTTGTAGAAGAAAGGCTTTAGTGGCTGGCAGAGAAATGATATGGCTCCCTAACCTGGCCATGGAGAGAAGTTACAGCTTATCATCATCTTACAGCTTTTTATTTTGGGGAGAATTTAGATCATTAGCAACTCTCAAGACCACGCTGTAACTGACCTCGGAGCTCTGGGGCACGAACAGACCTCCTCATTCCTAATGAACAAAGCTCTTCACTCTTCCATATTTTCTTCATTGACCAGAAAACTTCATTCTCCAGTCAATCTGGCTAATCGAGCTTTCACTAGAACACATTCCTCAAGGAAAAGCAGGAGTGAAGGATTGATGGACCCAGTGGTACGCTGTCTGGGCTCAGGGGCACTTGGGGGAGGTTAGCGGGGAGGGGATGAAGATGAGATGGGCCCACAGTGTGATGGACAGTGTGTGTCCACGTTCTCCTCAGGGATAAAGGACTTACTACCCGGGCTGCCAAGAACACTGGGCTGTCAGCCCCACGAAGGACTGCCCCAGCCAAAGGGAGGGGCCTTGCCCGAGTGCCTGGTGCCTTCCTATGTAACAGCACTCATTCCACGACCAATCAATTCGGAGGATGCAAAAGCTGGGGCCCCTGATATCAAGTCAGGATGGCGCCAGCAGGGTCATTCATTCCTTCTCCAGAGCTCCCCCAGAGCCAACTGAAATCACCCTGACACATCACAGCTCACCTTCCCTTTCGAGCCGAACCCGCCCCCTGCCCCCCTCTCCCTGTGTGTGGACACCAGGAGTGCACCCCAGTAACCCTGAGTGCCCCCTCCACCTCCGAGTCTGCTCACCAGGGGCCCAAACAGTGGAAATGAGTGTTGATGCTCTCCTCAGCACAAGAGCATTCATTACATTATTTATTTTTATACATTTGCAAGTTTCCCTAATTGTTAGTGGGTACCTGAAAAGAACTCTCATGTCCATCAGTCAGGGGTTGGCAAGAAAAATGATGACAGAGCCTTACAATGGACACTGCACTACGAGATAAACAATCTCCAAACTACATACAGTGCACAGCACAGAGTTCTAGACAGTACGGTGTGTAAAACACACTCCCGTTTGGGTTTTAAATGTGTAGGTATATGTGTATCTACACATACCTATACATACATACACATTCACACACACACAACATTTAAAATAAATTCTGTAATGATACCAAATTAAAAAACAATGATGACTACTTCTGAAAAAGGTGAGGAAGAGCAGTATGAGACTGGACTAAGTGGGAATCCTAATTCTCAAGATAAATCCTGTGGTCTTAAGTTCCCTCCCCCCACCTTTAGGTATTATACTATATTTAACAAGATAGTTCAATAAATAAAGCAGTAATTACAATGGCCTTGATTCACCCAATTTTTTGTTTTAAAGATGCACATATGGCCCTGGCTGGTGTGGCTCAGTGGATTGAGCACTGGCCTGGGAACCAAAGGGTCGCCAGTTTGATTCCCAGTCAGGGCATATGCCTGGGTTGTGGGCCAGGACCCCAAAGGGAGGTGCTCAAGAGGCAGCCACACAACACATTGGTGTTTCTCTCCCTCTCTTTCTCCCTCCCTTCCCCCCTCTCTAAAAATAAATACATAAAATCTTAAAAAAAAAAAGATCCACATATGCACACGACATAAAGTTTTCAAAAAATGGTGGACTTTAACAAGAACCCATCTTTAACCCACAGTCTTCGCCAAGGCCGGCCCCTGCCTGCGTGAGCACCCGCTCCCACAGCCCAGGACCCTCTTCCTTCGGGTTCCGGTGCAGCACAGTCTCCCAGTTATCTCCTTCCCGTTCTCCAGCTTTCTCCTATCTGGGTACATGAAGGCCTAGAAAGCCCTAAGAAAAACGGAAGGGACAAGGAAGGCTCTTTCATCCCCTTTTTTGTTAGATTTGGAATATGTTTTTCATTTGATTGCTCTTTCAATAAAAAATCTTAAGATGACATTTACTTTCCCCTTTACTGTGATTCTCCCTGACCTTTTATGGTGGAAAATTTCAAATATACGAAAAGTTTAAAAAGCAGAATAACAATCACTCAGCAAATAATATCTTGTCATATTTCCCTTGTCAATATGTATTTATGTGCATATATATACACACATATGTACATATATAGTTTTTCTGAGCCAACCTACATATATGATGACGTATTTTAAATACCTCAAAAATATTCTCCTTCAAAAACACAGTGCCATCATCCCAATCACCACTGTCAATGCCAGACACTCTAAGAGCATCTAAAATCCAGTCCATATTCACATTACTGATTGTCTAAAAAATGTCTTTTATAACGTTTTTTAACCAGCAAATACAATATTCAAGTTTCATGAACCACATTTGATTTTGGCTTTGGTCCTTGGTTCTATGACAGTTACACCTCATTTTTCTTCATATTAACTTAAAAAAAAAGCAAAACCAATTGTTCATAGCATGGTCCGAATTTAAATTTGGCTTGTTTTTTTGTGGTGTCATAAACCTTGTTCCCCTCTCTCTCGTTTTTCCTATGAACCGGAACTTAGATCTCAAGGTATCATTTGGTTCAAGGGAAACATTCTGGCAAGACTGTTCCGTAGGAGATGCTGCGTGTGCACTTCACACTGCAACTCTACACGTGAATGTCATGGTGTCCCACACTGTGTGATTAGGGTAGTGACTACCAGCTATTCTACCATAATATTTTTTCCCCTTTGAAACTATCAGTAACCTATGGAGTGATACCTGATGAGCCCATCCTGTTCTGCAATATCCTATATGATTCAGGAATCCCATGTGGCTTCTAAAAGCTATAAAACGGTTAAGATTGCAAATGATGCTATGAAAAATCTGGCATCAGATCAGTTAATTTCTCTACATTGCTTTTCTTTTTTTGAGCTTGTGTTTTTTTTCCATTACCTTTTAGTCCCCTTATACCCCCTCCCCACAACAACCACCACCCTGTTGTCCATGTCCATGAGTCCTTTTTCTCTTTTGCTCAAGCCCTCCACCCCCACCCTCACCCCCACTAGCTGTCATCCTGCTGTCCATACACTGCTTTTCCCTCAAACGCAAAAGTATTTCTGTCCCAGAACAGAGGCATTTCATAGGAGAGTCAATGTCGTCTTGGTCTGTGCATTTCCTGTGCCCCAGGCAGCTGGCCTCCTGAGACTTGCAGACAGAAACAAATTCAAATTCTCTCTCTTGAGAATAACCACACATGAACAAAAGGAAACCTACAATGCCCATGTACCAATGGGGAATATGAAAAGCAGGGAGTACACACTACAGAGAGAAACATACGTGCCATAGTTGCAATAAAAGAAGAAAAAAATTTAAGGTTTATTCAAACTGTCAGAGGACATTCCAACATCATTTGTCAAAAGAGCATGTTCAAGACAAATTTACAGTAAAATGTGATGAAGTGATCATTATGATTATGATTCTGTGATTATGTTTTTGCTACCACTTTATTGGAGACACGAAAAAAACTGAATCAGATAATAAACACTTTATTGTAATGCAATGAGATAGCTAGGTCATAAAACGTCCTGAAGAAATGGCCGAGCCGCTTCCTCAGAACAAAGCGTTTCTGGGATTAAAGAGTTGGGAGGGACACAACCTTCTGAACTCGGAACTTGTCATTACACTGACAAGATGATACTTTCTTATTTATTTGGTTAAGAAATCTACTCCCAATGAACTTGACATCTTAGGGCTGCTTTGTGAAAGGAAGTCCCAACATTCTGCTTCAGAAGGACATGTGGAAGGAGCAGATGGCAAAAGGAGACGATGCTTATTTCTTACTGCTGAGCCAGCCCCACGCACAGGAA